GCCCACGCTATTGTTATCCGTATAGAATAACCCATATAGCCGGTACACATACCGAAAATAATTCTTTTTAGTGGCACTTAATTCAATACTTGCATGGATAAGTGTTAAAATAAAGCTTTAAAAAAACGAAAAATATGAATCACAGACTTCATGTTCAAACATGTTATCCTGCATGGCGGAAACTATGTCTATAATTAATTGCCAGCGAGTTTTATCTAACTTCCCGACGAAGGGCCGTCGCTCGAAGCGTGGACGTTTATCTTATATTTTCAGGTAGTTGTATCTCTGACAATCTGCAGTTGTGTTGCGCTTCCTGCACTGGTACCAACAGTTTCTAAAATTAGGCGACTATCGGCCCACCGGCATGCAGTACTATACAATTACTTTATGGTTTCTGTGTTTGGATGGCCTGATCCAAACACGCGGGAAGTTGCGAGAGTTAACTCGAGCAACATTCCCAAGTGTTTGGATCAGGCCATCCAAACACGGACTGACCATAAAGTAATTGTTTTATAAAATAACAACTTTCCGTGTTAAAATTTCACTTTAAGAAATTTTCACTTTAAACTGATTTCCGTGTTTGGATGACCTGGTCGAAACACGGGTTTCGACCAATCAGAGCACGCGTTATATACATGTTATTTTATGATAGTGTTTCATGCCTTTTCATACCACGTGCTCGTCATTTCTAGATTACTTGGCTCAGAATGCAGGAAATTGGCCTTGGGAATCCAAATTTTTCTCACGGAAGAATGAGAGGACCCCCTTAACCCTGTAACCCCGAAACAAAATATTTTAACATCATTCTCGACATTGCAGGCGGTATTATGTTGCTGGGCCAAATGTAGAAGTTTGTAGCTAGAAGGCAGTTCTGGTTTTTGTCGCAATATGCCTTTCCGGAAAGTACTTAGCAGGGGCCGTAAAGCCTCGTTTCCATGATTGACGACTCTTCGAGAGATTTTTCGCACAAGTGATTTGCTATTCGCACACATGCAGCAGTTGTACTTGACCTCCTTGTTTATTCAGGCCGATATTTAAATTAGTTTGTCCACTGTCACTATAGATTACAGGCCAGAGGAACGATAATGTATTAGAATTGAATAATATTTAACAATTATTCGCCGAAGGCGAGGTGATTATCGGGGAATATTCGGTCTGATACAGAGTCGGTCTGATACACGAGCAGTATATCTTCAATAATTCCTCTTCTGATACATTTGGTCTTTTCAATAAAGACAGACAGTATATGCGTTTATTTGCCTTATTACATCATATGCATGATAACTCCACCATATAATTTATTGTGTTGGATGATAATAAGCCAAGGACCTTTCGTTGTTAACCAATTCAACCTCCTTGCCATGAATGAGAATTACTCAGGGGTGGATTTATAGGGGGAGGGGGATGCACAGGGGTGCGCATCCATGTTGGTCTCGGTCAACAGGGGTGCAAGGGGGGTGTAAAAAAATCAAATTCAGAAATATGGCATAATTTCGAAGGGTGGTTTTTCAGCCGAAGTTTGCGAGATAAGTCCACATAACAGCGACTTTTTATAGTCTTTTTGACGAATGATGGTGAAATTGCTTTGTAAATGGTTTAGTATATTATCACATTGTTTTAATTGTCTGCATTGGCTAACGAGAATTAGATACCACCCCCAAATGATGGCGGATATTCGTCATCGTGACGGCTTTAATTTAACTTCTTTGAAATCAGTCCGAAACTCTTTACACTTGTCTACGTTTAGGTGGAGTGGAGTTTATTAGTTTCCGACCAGCAATGAACATCGTTTGAAGCGAGCTGCAATGCACTAGAACTGACCCTGTGGTTTACCACTTCTGCAAGTGAGGTATCGTCAACCAAATCGGCATGCCTGGTATTCAAGTCGTTTATCAACAGCCAGAAACAACCAGGGACCCAATATCGTGACTTGCCGAACTCCGGAAGGCACGTTTTCCCATTCCGAGAAAATATCACCTGGACGTTTAACACGTTGTTTCCAATTCATAAGAAAGTCACAATTCCAACTTGCCACAACTGGAGAAATGCGCAAATGGGAAATTTTTCGAACGAGAATATTGTGATTGATGAGGTAGAATGCCATGCGGTAATCTAATAATAGAACGCGCACGACTGCTCCACAGGCAGCGGTTGCCTTAGACCATTTATGAATCATAGATATAAGGGACTGTGTTGTTGACGATTTTGGAATTGCACCAAAATGACTCTGATCTATTACTTCCAGGACAGCTGGAGCCACATATGTTCAAACAGAAAGCGATATGGTATTCCGGATATGGTATTCTCATAAGCGCGCTCGTTAGGGATGAACCATTAGAAAAGTGATGGGGGATTTTCTAAGAGGCACTATTTTTTTTTTGTACACCTATTGAAGAAATATATTTTTTGTCTCACTTGATGGTTGGAAATATTTTTTTTTTAAAGGGCCCCTACAGTAATTTTTTAGTCAAGTAAGTATTGTTTACATTTTTTTGTTATTGTCGCTACTTGACATGCGCACCACAGTATGCATGCATTTTCTGGTGTGCAAAAGTACTCATACTCATGGATACTGCATGTAAGATACAGCCAGATACAGCCAAACGAATCTCCGTGGAGTCCCCTACTTAAGGTGGCTTTTGACTAAAAAATTACTGTAGGACCCCTTTAAGTGAAATTTATAGGCCTATTAGTGGTGTAGTCCTGGAATGTTAACAAGGGGGGCTCTGCCCTGAATTGGCGGGAGGGGAGGTACAATAAGATATTTTGGAAATTCTAAATTTTGTTGGGGTTTATTCTAGTAATTCTGGGACAAACATTTGACGTTATTCTTATTAAAAACAAGCCGAAGCGAGGGCCGAAGGCCCGAGGAAATTAAATTTAGAGTCTCTGAAATGCCATTTCCTGGACTTTGGGGGAAGATTTGACAGAATTCTGATGGTCAGAAAACAGCGTTTTAGTGAAAATGAGATGCAATTCTAAAGAACATTCTCGTTTACTGATATTTTTGTGTGTGTGTTTTGACGTTGTTAAGATTATGCAACCTGCCAAAATATAGGGGGGCTCAGCACGCTAGTCATATTCAGCAAATTTTTTCCCAGGACCGCAGGCTCATATTGTCAGTGGACTTGCGGTGTAAAATTGAAACTTTTGCATTTTTCAGAGAACTGGCCACTTTCTGTAAGATGTCCGCTGCCAATACGAACCCGCACGAGTGGGAGAAATTTTGCTAAATTTGACCAACGTGCAGCCCCCCAAGTCAACTGAACATGAAATTTCAACAAGGGGGCTCAGCCCCCCTGAGCCCTCCCTCCAGTACACCACTTGGCCTATCTTCTAAGCAAGGAATTATTTTTTTGCACGATGCCTGGAAAGATTTTTTTTTCTTTTGGTTTTGCCCCCCCCCCACATCACTTTTCTAATGGTCCGTCCCTTATCTCCGTAAATCTAGTAATATGCTTATGAGCATACTGGATTTTGAAATATATATGACTGCGAGCTCATGAGCATACTGGATTTTGGTACATATTTGAACGTGCTCATGAGGTTTGGCATTCTCATAAGCACGCTCGTTTATGCATGCCCCCGAAAATTTTTGCATTTAGAGTTTCTGAAATTCCATTTCCTGGACTTTGAGGGGAGATTCGACAGAAATCTGATGGTCAGGAAACGGCATTATAACGTGTCGAAATTTGCAATTTGGTTAGAATTTAGTAGTAGTACTTAAAATTGGGCAATGCTAACTAATTCCATGCAGCGATTAATCTATAAATCCCAATTCTATTCTCTATGCAATCATTGTAAATGCTGATCACGCATATATGTTTTAAGGTTTCCTTGCTTGGCTGCCAAAAGGGCACGTTTTAGCATTATCTTATTACTTACATTACTCATGAGTTATGATGTTTCTTGCGCAAATTAAACAACTAAATTGCGTACACAACTTTACATTATCATAACTATCTAATTTGCGACGCTCTCGTGATTCGTGAAGCATAATAAAGGGCATAATACCAGCAAAAAAGGGCAAAAATCCCTCGTGATCGCTTCGAAACCTGACCAATATTCCGGTCATGAGACATTGCGTATGATCACTGTTCATGCTTCTATATGAATGATTTCGTGTGAGCCGTGAGGTAGCAAATTATTACGGTTAGACAAAATAATCTGTAATTTAATATATCCCCAAGAATTGCCAGCTGGGGGGGGGGGAGCGTGCCACCCTCCCTGACAGCACGCCACTGAACAGCAATGGCTATAAGGTATACGGAATTCTGGTACCATTTATGCCCACAAGCAGCCGTGGCTGTAAGGAAGGTATACTGAAATCTGATATATCATTTATAATATGGCCACAAACAGCCATGGCTATAAGGTATACTGAAATCTGGTAATATTTATGGCCTGACAATTAAACAGCCGTGGCTATAAGGTATACTGAAATCTGGTATCATTTATGAACAAAAACAGCCTTGGCTATAAGGTACTCGATATAGTCCCTTACCAAAGCAAAAGTATGGGAAAGATCAGGGGCGGCGTTAACCCTCTTCGAGTGGGGGGGGGGTGTGTGTGAGTGATCTTTTGCCGACTGTTGTTTGGTAATTTTGCCGAGTCATTGACCTATAGTAAATGTGCATGTTTAAATGCACTTTATTACCCTCTATTAAGCCGGTTTTCCACTAGCGAATTTCTCCGCGCGAAGTGACCTTTTTCCTTTGTCGGCATCTATTTTCGGCAAAAAGGGTCGACCCAAATGTGACCTTGGTCGGCACGTCTTGGAGTGTGTTCAGTTAATCGAACTACGACGCTGACATAATGCCCACGCATGCGCTACGTTTACCCGAGTGTCAAGTTATCGCGCATGCGTTCGTTTCAAAGTTTTGGCAGTAGCACCCTCCTCTCCTACACCCCTTGAACATTCCTTATCTGTCCAGCTAGACCCCGATTCTATCCTATCAAAGATAGGATAGAATCTGAATTCAGCCGGTTAGTTAAAGAATATGACGATGCATGTTTTTGATAAAAATATCTCTGGATACAACGGTGCTGCCGGTCCCTTTGAAGCTGTCGTAAATATGGGCTCAGCACAACCACCACAACGCAAAGGCAGATTCTCCCAATATGCGCCGAACAAGCTGGTCGAGCTTCAACACAAATTTGACGAGCTTGAATCGCTAGACATTTTTCAGCCCTCTGAAAACCTTGACATAACCGTTGAATACTTTAATCCATCATTCCTCATTAAGAAGCCAAGTGGAGCACACCGACTAGTCACTGCCTTTGCTGATGTTGGTCGATACAGCAAGCCACAACCATCTCTATTACCCGATGTCGATTCCACCCTCCGAACAATCGCCAAATGGAAGTACATCGTATCCGACCTTACCAACGCTTTCTATCAGATGCCACTTGCTAAAGGTTCCATGAAGTACTGTGGCGTCGTGACTCCATTCCGCGGCGTTCGAGTCTACACCCGATCAGCTATGGGCATGCCAGGGTCAGAAACAGCCCTCAAGGAGCTCATGTGTCGCATACTCGGTGATTGCCTAGAAGATGGAATCGCTGCAAAGCTTGCAAACGACTTGTACTGCGGTGCAGACACACCGGAGGAACTGCTCATCAACTGGAAGAGGATCCTAGACGCCCTCCAAAAGTGCAATATCAAGCTTTCTCCATCCAAAACCATTATTTGCCCACGCAGTACCACCATCTTAGGCTGGATTTGGACACAGGGATGCCTATCCGCAAGCACCCACAGAATTGCTACAATGTCATCGTGTCTGCCTCCCGATACGGTACGGGGTCTTCGCTCTTTTATAGGAGCCTACAAAGTCCTCGGACGTGTTGTACCACAGTGTGCACACATCATTGCACCATTGGAAAGTGCCATCGCAGGACAACAATCATGTGACAAGATCAAGTGGTCAGATACTCTGTCCCAACAATTCAAGTTCGCTCAATCCTCCCTGGCGAATAACAAATCTATTACCCTTCCCAAACCATCCGACAAACTATGGATAGTAACCGATGGCTCTGTAACCAAAAGAGGAATCGGAGCTACCCTTTACGTATCACGCCATCAAACCCTCCTCCTCGCAGGATTTTTCAGTGCCAAGTTAAGAAAGCATCAGGTGAACTGGCTGCCATGTGAGATTTAAGCATTAAGCATCGCTGCCGCCGTGAAGCATTTTAGCCCTTTCATAATCCAATCGCCTCACCCCGCTTGTATCCTCACAGATAGCAAGCCATGTGTTCAAGCCATCGATAAACTGCGTCGAGGTGAATTTTCAGCGAGCCCCCGTGTTACGTCATTTTTATCCATCGTCAGCAGGTACCAAGCGGACATACACCACCTCGCTGGCTCAGCGAATGTTCTCTCGGATTTCGCCAGTCGAAACGCACCAGAGTGCAGTGAACCGAAATGCCAAATTTGTAACTTCATTTCAACCACAGAAGATTCCGTAGTTCGATCCACCTCCGTCCAAGACGTACACCACCTCCCCCGCTTACCTTTTACAACCCGATCTGCCTGGATCCAAATACAATCCGAGTGTCCCGACCTACGCAGAACACATGCTCACCTGAAACAAGGAACACGTCCCTCTAAGAAATTAACAAATGTAAAGGATGTTAAACGTTACCTAAATTCCCTGTCCATTGCCAAAGATGGTTTATTAGTGGTTCGTAGAACCGATCCTTTATCACCCTCCACCGAGTTGATCGTAGTACCACGCTCCGTACTTGACGGTCTTGTAACAGCCTTACATATCAAACTCGACCACCCGTCAAAACACCAACTCCAACTGGTGATGAGACGCAACTTCTTCGCACTTGACATGCCAGCTGCCATTGCTCATGTGAGTGACACATGTCACACGTGTGCCTCCCTGAAAAAGCTCCCACCTCAAGTTGTACAGCATAGCACAGAAGAACCTCCCAAGGTCGTTGGAGTTTCATTTGCCGCAGATGTCTTAAAGCGGTGTAAACAATATCCACGACGAGAAAGCCAACACACTTCGTGATGCTCTAGCTAAGTTATGCAGCGAGCTGCATCCCCTGGAAGGTCCACCGGCCATCATCAGAGTCGACCCCGCCCCCCGGTTTTGTTGCACTGCGAACCGACCCAACCCTTAAACGCCTCGGCTTATCCCTAGAGATCGGACGCGTTAAAAACACTAATAAAAACCCAGTAGCAGAGAAGGCCATCGCTGAACTCAAAGAAGAAATCCTCCGCCAAGCACCCAATGGTGGTCCAATATCGACTGTTACCCTTGCCATCGCAACATCTCGACTAAATTCCCGCCTCCGGAGAGAAGGACTCTCGGCTCGCGAGCTGTGGACACAGCGAGATCAGTTCACTCATGATCAACTTCCCATATGTGATCGCAAAGTAATCCAAGAGCAACATCTACAACGAAAACAAAACCACCCGTATAGTGAGAAATCGAAAAACCGAAATAGGAATTCGTTTCCACCTCCTACAATTAACGTCAGGGACTTGGTTTATTTAGTCGCTGAGCGAGATAAGACACAACCCCGCAGTAGATACTTGGTCATATCTGTGGAAGACCCATGGTGTGTCATCAAGAAATTTTCAGGTAATCAACTGCGTGCTACATCGTATAAAGTTAAAACTACTGATTGCTTGATCGTCCCAAACCGGTCAATATCGAGTACACCGTATCCCCATTGTGACAGGGACAGTTCCGATGAAGAAGTGTGTGAAGAATGCCCATATCAGACAAGTAACGTTCCGCCCACGTTAACAACTCCAGCCGACAACAGCATCTCGCCAACCACTACTCAGCGCCCTCAACGCAAACGCCAGTCTCCAGATTATTATGGGTATTAGAGAACAAAGTATTACGTAAATTGTTATATTGTAGTTATACTAACAGTCATCTTTCGTTGACACTAAGTTAAGAAGAAGAAGATACCACGCCATAAATGGCATATTGATATTGTTTATTTAACAGCAGTAATTATATTGACATTATCATAAACACCGGAACTTCCGGTTTATCGCTAGTCACTCACGGACTGCTTGTACTTCGAAAATACGAATTGCTCTGTAAAAACATATAGTTTTATCGTTCGTTATTTGTGAGTCTTTCTTCTATACTGGCGGTGCAACATACGAACTGGCATGTTAATGGAGGCTAATGCAGGATTGACAGGATATCCTCTCTAAAGTTTTCACAGCCTGTGGAGAAACGTAGTATTTCAAAACGCACGTATTGTGCACAAACATTGTGTGTAAAGGAATAATATTCTGACAATTAAAACTATTCAGGCCTGCAATAAATTCATGAACTGACAAACCACAACGGACAAGGGTTTATCTTTTGTGAAAGCGCTGACAATTTATAGCATAATATTATTCCAGGTTATTTGTTGACACATGCACCCCCATAAGTAACACATTCATAACTACAAGAATAGCCAGGCTCCATTTTTGTCATGGAATTGTTTAAACGATAGAGACATACGCAACATTAGAAACGCACGCAAACATGATTTGCAATGAAAAACACCTCTGAGTCTTCGCCCATAAAATGGGAAAGGCCAGACAGCCATATTAAAAGTTCACCAAACTGTTCATCACTGAAAGAGGTTGCAGATCGGGCAGAAACAATATGGCTGTTTCTAATAATGCGTTAACTGCGGAAAGAAATTTGGATGCTTGCTATGATGTGGATATCGAATGGTCCGATTATCCAAAGAGACTGGAAAACGTAATAAGATTTTTGGTTGTTAACCTGATAAAATTCGTAGTTGACCTATTATTAATTTGTTGAGTCAAATGAACTATTTGCACAGCTTTTAAATAACACGAGTGCTTAAAACGTGTTTTAGGTATGCGAATTATGGGCCAAGAGTATGAAACAGCAAAAGACTACAATATTAATTGGTCTATTGTCAGTAGTTTCATTTTGTCTTGGGCACTCGTGTGTTGAAGTGAAGTCTGCGTGGAACGAACCTTTGGTGATTTGGACAGCAGTGGTGTTAAAAACAGGTTCGTCCGATTTATATTTCTGAAATACATGTTATAGGAAATGTATAGCATCCGCCATCACATATATATACTATACAAAAATGTATACGCATGTATATGTACAATTTACCTTTCTTGCATGTATTCAAAATTGGCCCTAATTTTCACTAAGTCTTATAAATACACAAGGTTTACTGATTTTGCAAACTTTAAATTCAATGCGACATTTTAGCCTGCATAATCTCACGCCTAGACAATGTTAATAATGCGCACTCTCACACAGATTATGTTCGACAGTTTTGTTTTCACTCAACTGTGCGCGAGCGACTTCTAATACAAAGCAATTTCAAATAAAAGTAAGGTATAACGACTTAATAACAACAAAAAGACCAATTAGCCCATTGCATGAGTGCATGTAGAATTGAAATTAAAAATCTTCCATATTAGCGGGTGGCATTGCATGTTGGGACTGAGCAACAACTAAATAATAAAATTAATTTAAAAAAAATATATATTTCATTTATTTCCTCTTCCTTGTTGTCATCAGCTGCTGTATATCATGGTTTCATATAGGAAAAAGGTTCTAGACATTGACTTGCTGGTGAATAAAAACCCCTACTTTATGTCTAGACATATTGGCTCATGCATGTATTAGTGTATATATTGATGTCAGGATTTCTGGCATCTCACTCGATAGAACTTAATAATGTTGAAAGATTTTTAAGATTGAAATGTAAATGTTACTGAATATACATTGTGTAAATGTTACTGAATATACATTTATTAACCTATCACCAGCAGCTGGTTGTTAGGCATAACAATTAAAATTTGCCATGGATTTTCTCATCTACAAAACCCTTCAACATTATTAATGCATGTGTTTTAATCTATTTCTTAATCGATAATATTCCATATATAACTTCGCTTGATACAAAATATATCCGGCGAAATTTCATGAACACACTTGGTTTTCCTATTTTCCCAAAATAATTTAGGGATAGAAATTTCATATAAGTGTACCGTTTCCATATAAGTGTATTGCTACATTAATTATTACTGCAATGTATATAAAAGCATAGATTAGATATAAGTCCCCGTTTAAATGGGACTGACTGCAACCACAGGCAGCCCAATCTCGCAAGGGTCAGTATAGACTTATATGTAGTATAACTGTATATTATATTAATGTATATAATATAGTAAAAATATGTCATAAAATATAAATTTTAAAATGAAATTGACTTGCCTATTTGATAGTGTGTGTTCTCCTTTTATTCCTCCTTTGTTGGACTAATATTTTCCGAGACTTTCTACTCAATGTTACTAGTATACATGAAACATGATAAAGGCTAACGATTTCCGATCGTCGATACGACGGCACAGCACTTCGAATCGAAAATTCTCACACTCAAATCGCTTTATTCTCCAAAAAAATTCGCCAGCATGCAGAACAGATGCAGTTCTTCGAAAATACGGAGATACTTCGGCGAGATGTACAAGTTTTGGACCATATTTTAACAATGGAAATCAAAACCCATTTTATATTGAACTTGCCCAGGCCGAAAATTACTACGGCGAACGCCTGCGCAACTAGGCCTCCTTTACCATTGGGATTTACAGGGGGGGGGGAGCAGATATTCCCGGTAACAGCCAGCCAATCGCAAGGGTGATAGCGACTGTTTACATTATTTGAAATTTGATATTCAAAATAAAAACTCCTTCGATCGGATACTGTATAAAACTCAAGACGTTGTCGAAGAAAGGAAAACTGAACGACGGAGATTGTAGGAATTTAAGGAAGAAGAAATATACAGCAGCTCTTTGTTGGAAAGCATGGTAGAATATGATACTTTAATTCGAAATATGATCTTTTATATATTAGTGGCATCATCCCCCCCCTCTAAATCCCAACAGTAAAGGAGGCCTGGTTGCGCAGGCGTTCGCCGTAGTAATTTTCCGCCTGGGCAAGTTCAATATAAAATGGGTTTTGATTTCCATTGTTAAAATATGGTCCAAAACTTGTACATCTCGCCGAAGTATCTCCGTATTTTGGAAGAACTGCATCTGTTCTACCATGCTGGCAAACTTTTTTGGAGAATAAAGCGATTTGAGTGCGAGAATTTTCGATTCGAAGTGCCGTGCCGTCGTATCGACGATCGGGAATAGTTAGCCTTTATCATGTTTCATGTATACTAGTAACATCGAGTAGAAAGTCTCGGAAAATATTAGTCCAACAAAGGAGGAATAAAAGGAGAACACACACTATCAAATAGGCTAGTCAATTTCTTTTTAAAATTTATATTTTATGACATATTTTTACTATATTATATACATTGATATAATATACAGTTATACTACATATAAGTCTATACTGACCCTTGCGAGATTGGGCCGCCTGTGCTGCAACGAAGACAAACGGTGAAAATTTCGTTTCCATACGATTTGGGATTGAATATAATATCCAATTTTTGAGCATCCAGTGAATGATTCCAGCTATCGACTAATTTTAGATCTAGACAAAAAAGACGATCTATCATTATAGCTCAACAGAGCATCCTAAAATTAGCAAAATTTGGTAACTAAATTGAAATGTTGCAAAAATACGAAAAATATAAAAATACTAATAATATATATATATATTTATTATATAAAATATAGTGCTTTATAGAGATTTCGAGCACTGATAAAAGTGATAATCTCACATGTGAAAATTATTGCTTTTCCAATTATCGCTTTTCTGTAAAAATTATCGCTTTTCAAAGACTGTGCTTTATATAATAAACAGAAAAATACATGGGTGCGCGTGAAATACCAGATTTATTTCGAGTGTTGGACATGATATCACACGAGTGAGCGCATTTTTGTATTACGCGCGAAAAATGTAAATTTGCTAATTTCAAAAATTTGATAATTTCAAAGTGCTATATTTTCCGTATTTTACAACATTTCACAACCGAAATTGGCAATGTTACTAATTTAAGGATGTTTTTTTAATGATAGATTTCGTCCTTCCTGTCTGGATAAAAAATTAGTCGATAGCTGGAATCATCTATCGCAGCACTGAAAATAATAAATTTTGTCTGACTGATGGTAAAATTTTGAAAAAGAACCCAACGCGTGGAAGGTGTAATCTTGAGTGCATGGTTTTGCGTTGAAAACTTGAAATGAAAAGTGAACGTTTCAATTATTTTTCAAAATTAGTGATTCAATGATTAATACTAGCTATAAACTAAATTTTGATCTAGACAAGAAGAACGAAATCCACTGCCATAGCTGGAAAAAGCATCTTAAAATGAGTAAAATTGCAAAGTTTGGTTGCGAATTGTTATAAAAAGAGAAAATATAGCCCTGTGAAGTTCGCAATTTTTTTATGTATTTGGATATGCGCGGGAAAAAACCATTTTTAAGCTGAAAGTGGTTTTTTTCGCGCGCGTAATACAAATATATACAAAATTTTCTAACTTCACAGGGCTATATTTTATTCATTTTACGACATTTAGCAACCGATCTTTGCAGTTTTACTCATTCTAAGACGCTGTTTCTAGCTGTACGTGCTGTTGGATGTTGTTCTTCTTGCCTTGATCAAAATTTAGTCTATAGCTGGAATCAACCCTTTGAAAATTTGGGTTTTTTCATACACTTCCTTACATAGTTCACAAACATGTGAACACATCGGTCTGACCTGGGTTCCATTCAGATGCGCCGCAGTTTTAGCTGTACACGCAAAATAAATGTGCATGCAGGTAGTTAATTAAGAGTGTCAATTTTCGACATGTCTGGGCATGCAAAAGAGTTCGAACAATGAATTTAGATAACTTGTATTAGTTTCGGCATGGACATGCATGAAAAGCCCCACCTTTCACGAGCAATTTATAATTACGGTAAAACAGCTGCAACATCAATGACGGACCTTCTCGTCTATTTTAATAAACATGAAGATAACATTACAAATGATAAAATCTGAAGAGTAAAGAAAAACCAAAAACATATTTAAACCGATCAACAGGGCTGTTTGAGGTCAATTTAATATGTTTATCCTCGTTTCATTCCATTATATGAAAACAGGCTGTAATATGTATATTCGTAATGCAGTAATACAATTTTGAGTATAAAATTTTGAAGCTCACCTGTGAATAAAATTATGTCACTAAAATAGAAAAACAAATTAAACATGCACAATTACCGATGTCATGATCAACATCCATGTGTCCTATTTTTCTCATATTCAGGAAGATGCAAGTCTGCATTTCCCAGGTTTTTAGAGATCCTTTTAGAAAAGGTTGAAGAAAAGCTGAAGAATTTGCAGAGCAGACGACGCCATATGGTCCTTCCACACTGCACCTGGAGAAATTCTCGCAACCAACGGTGGAAGAATATACGGCCTTTTCGATGAACTGGTATCCTTTTTTTCAACCATGAACATGTATTCATCGGCAAAAGGTCAGGTTCAGGACAATCGAGAGTACCAAGATTTCCTCAAGATGTTCACGGGAAAAGCGAAAACAAGAGAAACAGGTGAGAGAGCATAACTATCTACTAACTTGCATTAAAACTTATAATTAGGCAGACAAAATTATGAAAAATTTTCATATTTCAACAAACATTTGGCATTAAATGGGAAAATTAAGTTGTTGTTTACTAATATATTACTATTTATATGTTGTTTTACTATATATTACTATGTGGTTTGCTATTAATAGTGTTTTAAAAAGGTTTCTAAAAAAGATAAATTCTGAAATTACACTGAAATACTTTCGCCTGCTTCCACTTTTAAATATGGAATTTCCTTAAAAATTCCTTGCCGAAGCCGGAGTTTTGACTGCCGGAGCCGGAGCTAAATAGCCGGAGTTTGCGCAGCTCTACAACAAGGAAAGGGTGTCTGTAGTGTAAATTCGTCTGACGTACAGTATAAAATGTAATATCCAAAATCTGTGATCTATTTTTAGTTACAGGAAATGCGAACTTTGACATGAACCAAACGTCGTTCACATTATTGGGATTTACTCAACCACATTCAGCTTTGCCAATCTTACAAGACGTAGAGAGCAATGCCAAAGGGTTCACCTCACAAATCTTGTGGTACTTTCCCAGACATATATACAGCAAGTTTGCTGATCTCCAACTCACAGAAGAGGATGAACAGCTACTCAATGAGACCGAAGAAATACTTGGTAATTCATGTTGTCCATGTTATACAAATAATTCTACCGTTCTTTAATTCTATGCTGCAAAGGTTCAATGGTTGTATGATTCCACCGAGTTCTAGGTTTTATGGTTCTCTGTAGTTTTATATAGTTCGATACAATTTTAAAAAGAATTTGCAATTAGAACATTTGTTATTGTCATGATATAGTTAACTTGTTGACAAGTCTATATGAAAGGGGTGAAAAAACGTATACATCAGAAGATATCGCAAAGGTAGTGGTCGTCAATGTTCAAAGGAGAAAGTACATCCTATCTCAGGAAGCTCAGGAAACGTTTGCAGATATCCATGATAACTGGGAGATGAATATTTGCAAAGCTTATCAACATGATATCCTTCTAAGTGGTAAGAAATGTATTGCAATTATATAAATATGCAGTAGAGATTAGATTTCCTCTATTTCGTATTTTATAAAAATACAAAAAGATACAAATTCGTGGGGACAGCCACTTTCAAATAAATAATAAAAAAGGTTGAGTTCATTGTTTCACACAACAGCAGAAAATTTAAAGTAGTACTTAAAATCTTCATTTTCGGAATTAGTGCTCTAAGATTGGTATTTCTTTAGAATAATGAATTGTTTGCGTTACAATTCAATTTCACAGGCTTGTTTGCAAGGGGAAACTCTCATGTCATAAGGCTGTCTGTTCCTATGCAAATATTATTGGACACATTTGCAGACGAGACCAATGATGGACATGGCCATGGGCATTCGGGTGAAGATTTAATGCCGACAGACGTTGAAACGTCTCCCGAAGACGTTGGAATGCCTGCCGAAGACGTTGAAGCTCCTGCCGAAGATTATAAAGCGCCTTCCGAAGACGATGAGACATCCTCCAAAGACGATCAAGAGCCTGCCGAAGAAGATGACCATGAAAACGTCACTGAAATAAGCTCTAAAGCTCTACTTGTTTCCTATTCCTTAGTTGACGTTTGTTTACGACATGTTTGTGAGTATAAAGTCTGTTTTAGCAGTAATCTGTGTAATTTTATTATGTACCTGTAAAATGACATGCGGAATATACTGTACATATGTTCTGTATACCATTATTTGTTTGGAGTGAATAATGTTCTTTCCCTTCCATAATTCCATTTATGAGTCTGGTGAAATTATCTCATCATTTCCAGACTATTTCAACAATTCGGTTTAAATATAGTTGGATATAAAAGTTTAATAAATCTGGACGGTCTTATGTAACCTTAAAATTAAGTCGCATTGTTTTATCTCAAACACAACAGTTTTTGTATAGGTATAAAATGTTTTGGTGCGAGGACTACAAAATAATGATCAAGGAAAATATTAAGACCAAATGCAAAGTGAATAAGTATGTATATTATTACTCAACTTAAAATTGTCCAGTCTGGAAGCTTAGTCGTTTGTGGCCTGTGACCATGAAATCGATTGCGATATCACGCCTTACGTAATCAATTACCAAGCCTGTGTTCCTTTGACAATGTTCCATGCCATTTTCCCCGGGGATTATGGGGTTGAACATTATTTGCGTAGACCACGCAAGACAACACACTGATAAAAGTAACATCACGAATATAATTTTTTATATATGTTCTTATTTCAGGTTTGATGAATGGTAAATCTCCAAACACCCAAGAAAAGGAACCTGACAAAGAATTAGACATCTCTATGCCACAATATCCCTTGGCAGTTCCCGAGGAAGACCGAAAGGTCATCAGAACCACACTCCTGACAAGCGGAAATATTGTTTCTTTAAGCCTACTTCTCCTTAAAACCAAAATAAAGAAACGAAGCACAGAAACCGCGGCTGCAGTTGGAAAACGCCTTTTTTCATATTTGGCCGAGATGGATCTTGCAGAAAAACGGCAATATCATATTAGGCGAAACAAATCAACCGTAAGTATATACATCACACTTTTGCAATAAATAATTTGGTTGCATGCGAACCCATCTCTGTGCATTTTTAGTTTAGGTTTGATTTTATCGCTTTACAAAACATTTATTTTCAAAATTACTAAGCCATTTGAAACACTCGCAATCCGTCCTTTATCAGATATAAAACAATCGAGCGCGCTCTTGTGTTTTATATCTGATAAACTAGTCCTGCTCGTGTTTTAAATAGTACATAACTTCAGTAAGGAAGGATCCTTCCACAAATCCAACGATAGTCAGATAATAATATAAGTACTATTTAAAACACGAGCAGCACGGACTGCGATTGCTTTAAATGGCTTAAAAAACGACCTATCTGATGAGTTCATTCGCGATGTGATTTTAAAAATAAAGTTCCCTAAGCCGAGAAAATCAAAGCTAAAGTTTATGTAAATAAACATGATTTTTTATCACATATTAAACCACCGAGACGGTAGTGATTTTGTCTCTTCCTCATGAATTATTAATCAGTTTTCTTTTTAATAATAATAATAAAATTTAAATTAATCCTATTTAGAAAGCACGCAAAAGCAATTAAAATTAAAATAATGAACAGTAATAAAGATGAATTTTTTTCAGTCGTTGTAATTGCTATGGGTATTTCTAACTTCACTTCTTTCGATTTATAGGTGCAGTTCCTTCTCAAAACGCCAGTCCCGGTTGAGATCCTTCCAAAAATGAGCTTTGCTCAAACTCTAGCCAAACATGGCATTTCATTACGAGAATATCAGATGTCTCTGGAACTTGAGAATAAAGAAAGGTGAGCATGATTTAATTATTCTCTCCAGAGAATACGCGCTCTATCTTTTTCTTCCGAACCGCCCGCAAGACATTAACTTCGCATTCGGGCACGTTAAGACATTTTTCGCTAAAAACGATCACTTGAAAAAAGACCAAAATCAACTATTTTTTGTTTAATTTAAATCAGATAAGGTGGTCATTGATCTAAAAGTGCATAAACCAAATGAATCATAAACGTCGGGTAACAGATAAAAAATGTATCATTTCTTTAAAGGTATATGACCATAAAATTAACTTTCTCTTATTTGAAAGAACTTTTAAAGTTATAAATGAAGACCCTTTACAATCTTTTCGTACCTTACTTGGTTTTCGAAATATTTTGAAGAAACCAGTGTGTAATCCGCCATCGTGGTAATTAGATAATCATAATTGACTTAACTGAGTTTTTACGACGTCACAAGCAGGGTGAACTTGCTAAAACTTCTTCATTTGGGACTAAATTTCTTCGAAAGGTTTTTTAAAATGTTGAGCGTTAATTGAGTAATAAAAAGACTTAGAAAAATCGAGTTTCATACTGATAATAACATGTGGTTTGCAAAATTGGAATAAAACTTTTTAACTATTTGTGACATATGCATATCGAGTGCATATCCAAGATGGCGAAATGCACGCTGCTTTTGATGAAAATAAATCAATTTCTTTGGAAACCCATGCAAGCAAGTTATTTTATATATAATTTTAAATGTTCTATATATATTTTTCCTTAAATTTTATATACAAGGCAGTTTATATACATTTTTAAATGTTCTTTCAAATAAGAGAAACTTAATTTATATTGCTATATCCCTTTATAAATAAAAAATAAATTCTCATAAATTTAAAATTATGGCGAAATGGGATAATGATTAATGGTGTATTGTTGCACTTATCTCAATTTTTTCAATATAGCGAAGACCATCTAAAACAATGGAACCCCAGAAAAGAGGCATATGACAACACGTCACCAGATATGGCAACCCCACCCAAGAGGCAAGAACAACAAGACAACGATCTCAATGATGACGAAGACGTTAACACTCAACCTAATAAATTGCCACAAAATGAGTAGACATGCATTCATCAATATAATAGAGGTTCAGATTTAATTTCCAGACCACTACCGCTACCTCTCAGTGGTTCAATTCGCATGTCGTTACTCAATCTCATTGGTTATTGGTTATTGGTGGCGGCAGTAATCATGAAAGTCAAACTCTGAACATCCGTTTCCAAGCCAACAGACAATCCTACACTTGAAATAATTTAAATTTGTAAAATGGTTTTACTAATAAATTGTGATCAAAATTTACCATGTATACCGTTTTATTTGTTTTGCTTTTGTTATCCAATTATTCTAATACCATTCACAACATAAAAACTTTAATTCTCATACAGAAAAGCTTCTCTCAGTCATAAAAAAAATTAATCAGCCTATATATCAGCATATTTATTAGTAATCTTTGGACGTCACATGAAATCCCTCTGATCGATAATGCATGACATTATTCAAATATCATTGATTAGAATCCTTCTTGACTGGATAAAAGCACAATCAAATTTTTGCCAAACTTTTGTTATGTAAATAACGGTTCGAACAATTCGTACGAATTGTACGAATATACAATGACATTCAGCTACATTGATACTATGAAACTCGCCAACCTGACCATTCTAACAAATCTGAAAGTATTCACGAATCGAACTGTTTGTACGATTCGTACGAATCTACGAAGACATTCACTTAGAGCGAACTACGAACCCATTTGATACTATGAACCTCATGAATGTGACCATTCGAACGATTCTGAAAGCATTTACGGATCAAACGATTCGTACGAATCTACAAAGATATTCACCTACATTGGTACTATGAACCTCACGAATCTGTCCATTCGAACGAATCTGAAAGCATTGACGAATCGAACGGTTCGTACGAATCGTACGAATCCACGAAGACATTCACTTAGAGCGAACTACGAACCTGTTTGATACTATGAACCTCACACGAATCTGACCATTCGAACAAATCTGGGATCACTCACGAATCGTACGGTTCGAACGAATCGTACAAATCTACGAAGACATTCAGCTACATTGATACTATGAAACTCACGAACCTGACCATTCGAACGAATCTGAAAGCATTCACGAATCGAACGGTTCGTACGAATCTACGAAGATATTCACCTAGAAGGGAACTACGAACCCGTTTGATACTATGAACGTGACGAATCTGACCATTTGAACAATTCTGCGACCAATGACGAATCGAACGGTTCGTACGAATCGTACGAATCTACGAAGACATTCACCTAGAGCGAATTACGAACCCGTTTGATACTATGAACCTGACGAATCTGACCATTCGAACGATTCTGGGACCAATGACAAATCGAACGGTTTGAACGAATCTACGAAGACATTCACCTACATTGATACTATGAAAACTCACGAACCTGACAATTCGAACAAATTTGGGATCAGTCACGAATCGAACGGTTCGAACGATTCGTACGAATCTATGGAGACATTCCCTTAGAGCGAACTACGAACCCATTTGATACCTATGAGCCTCACGAACCTGACCATTCGCACGATTCCGAAAGCATTATGAATCGAACGGTTCGTACGAATCTACAAAGACATTCCCCTACATTGATACTCTGAACCTGACGAAACTAACAATTCGAACGATTCTGAAAGCATTTACGGATCGAACGGTTCGAACGATTCGTACGAATCTACGGAGACATTCACTTAGAGCGAACTACGAACCCATTTGATACTATAAGCCTCACGAACCTGACCATTCGAACGATTCCGAAAGCATTCACAAATCGAACGGTTCGTACAAATCTACGAAGACATTCACCTACATTGATACTATGAACCTGACGAAACTAACAATTCGAACGATTCTGAAAGCATTCACGAATCGAACGGTTCGTGTCAGACAATCGAGTGTCAACATGGCGGTCAACATGTCTGATGCGAGTACTGATGTAAGCACTTGTTATTCAACAAATGATTGCCTAAGTAATCTGAAAACACTACAAATCGACGACAGTAATGGTAAAGATATCATTATTGATGAGAATAGAAAGCTAAAATGGAAGGAGAGCTATGAAGCTCTTAAAGTCTTTGTCAAGAAAGCTCTAAAACTAAACGGGAAATGGTCGTCACCCGGAGGCAACTTAAAGCTATTTAATGAGACCACAGGATCAATTATAATCAGGTATTACACCAACTCTGCCTCTCTCTTAATTCAAGGTGAGAAAGGTGAGTCATTTACAAACATTTTGATCAAAAAGCTCTCGACCATGCATCCGAATTCAGAGACAAATATTATCGCCGATGATAACTCGTGTGAGCCAGAAAAATCGGAAGAGTCACAAAATATGTACGATGTCTCTATAAGCGAGCAGTCTCAAGATATTTTTACTTTCGACGAGGGTATATTGACTGGGACAATCAAACAGAAAAATAATAAACACGTCAGCCATACTGACGAAGTAAATTATATAATTGACCATCCACAAACGCCTACTATGGAGCCGCAAACTCTACACAAGAATCAAGAAATAATGACCGAAAATTGTTCGCAAACGATGCCCCAAACCGACACTGCCAATAGTTCAAATGCAGATCTGTTGAAGTATGTTTGTCGGCTGGAGGCTAGGATGGAGAAATTATTTGATATTATTTCGGGTGATATGCGTGAACTTAGATCGATCACTGAACTATATTTGGAATTAGATCTTCTCGTACTTTAAATGAAAATATATCACTCAAGGAAGAGGTCTCACATTTGAATGAAAAAATAAAAAATCAATCATGTTTGATATCCGACTTGGATACGAAGCTGAAGGAGCTTAACAATGAACGCAGTAGCTTACTAACAGTAATCAGAGTACTACAAGTAGAAAATCAAAACTTTCCTCATTATCAGAGACAGCAACAAATGGCTAATTTACATGCCAATATTAACCATCCCCCGCAGAGCCAACATGTTGCTCCCTCAGCTCATATTAATCAAACCGATCAAAGAAGCACCGAGTGGAACTATGCATATGATAACACGCTTGACCAACGACTCATATATCAGACGGAACAACAACAACGTCATCACCAAAATTCCTATAACGAGACACATCAGCAACAATCATACCAGCCAAAATCACAACAGAAACATCAACTGCTACCGCAACATATATATCAGCGACAACATCTGGTGGCTCACTTACATGACAACACCCATCATCCCCCACAAAGCCAATATGTAGGCCCCTCTGTCCAGTCTCAAATTAATCAAGAAATCACTGAGAGGAACCATGCATATAGTAATACGTTTCATCATCAACCCAGACCCCAGTGGGAACGGGCCAAACAGCAATGCATTAGCAGCAACAATGATACGCATCAGCTGCAGCAACAATCACATCAGCCACACCATGATCAGCAACAGCCACCTCAGCAAAAACAAGATCATCAACAGCGGCCTTTCAATGACACTTCACTACCCAGACAACACCACCACCGTCCTAAAAAGCATGCTGGAGAAGATCTCACAATTATCCTAGGAGATGCTTTGACAAGAGGAATCAATACGAGGAACATCAGAAGGTCAACCAGTAAAAATGTAATTATCGTACTTTTCCTGGGGCAACGGTTAAGGATATGGTAGATTACATTAAACCATCCTTGCGTTTACAACCTGCCCATATTATTATCCACGTTGGGACCAACGATTTGAAATCAAGTGAGGTGAAAACCCTAACTGAAAACATATCCAAGCTCTGTGATGAGATCTATAACTTCAATCCCAAGATCGACATCACACTTTCGCAAATAATAACTAGAACTGATAGCCCTGGCATTAACGAAAAGGTCGCCCAACTGAATAACCTACTAAAGGGTCTCTGTGAAGCAAGAAACTTGGGTATGATAAGCCATGAAAATATCGATGAAAGAGGCCTAGACAGATTTGGCCTGCACCTTAATAGGTCAGGTAGTGGTATCATGGCAAGAAACTTAATTAACTGTATTCAGCATCTTTAGCAATTCTAAATTATATATCTTAGATTACCTGAATTCCAACCAACCCATGGTAAATATTAATTTAACCGACAACCCTTTTAGTCTAATTCCAACAAAGGGTCTGCCTTTCTTCCATTTAAATATTCAGGCTATCACAAATAAATTGGACCAAGTTAAGCTTATGATTTCTGAATCCATAATGCATAGGAAGAAAAGCAACATTATATTTTGTTTCTCTGAAACTCATTTAAATTCTAACTGGTCTGATGACGAATTGCAAATTAGAGAGTTCAACTTCATTAGGAAGGACCGAACTTATGCCTCAGGTGGAGGTATTCTGATTTATATCCCAGAAACAATTAATTTTCAATATCGCAATGATTTCTCGTTACAAGAAAATAATTATCCGCTTGAATTTATTTGGTTGGAATTTAAGTATCCTAATTCAAAACCCTTCCTGATGGCCATTATGTATCAACCAGGAAATAATACTCTCTGGAGAGATAATTTAAACTATGTATTAGACATGGCTGACAATGAACACTTATCATTTATAGACCTGGAGCGAGGGGGATTCGGCGAAATATTACCCAAAGTGATGATATTTCCCGAGGGGCTTTGCCCCGAGGGAAATATCATCACTGAGGGTAATATTTCGCCGAATCCCCCGAGCGGAGGGTCTATAAATGATATATTATACCGAAAATTAAAAGCCTCCAAGTTGAGAATTAAAAACTTGACACATACCTTCGTGAATACGATGTTTTATTTTCGGATTAACACAAGTATTCGTCGATTTTCTTTCGAATCACATATCGTTTGGAATATTAATGACAACATTTTTTCAAAATTTGCTTCAAAATTTTGAAAAAGCCCCAGGTTTTACGTTTAAAATTTGATTATTCATCACTCATCAATACTATTTATATTTTGTCGGCCATGTTTTTGTCATGCGTGTTGTCTCGCGCGGTCTACGCGAATAATGTTCCACCCCATGTTCCCCGGGGAACATGGGGTGGAACATTGTCATAAGGAACGCAGGCTCGCTAATTGATGACGTAAGGCGTGATATCGCGATTAATTTCATGCTCACGTGGCACAACCTAAGCTTCCTGATTGGACAATTTGAATTTGAGGTATAATATATATATATATATATATATATATATATATATATATATATATATATATATATATATATATATATATATATATATATTATATTATTAGTATTTTTATATTTTTCGTATTTTTGCAACATTACAATTTAGTTACCAAATTTTGCTAATTTTAGGATGCTCTGTTGAGCTATAATGATAGATCGTCTTTTTTGTCTAGATCTAAAATTAGTCGATAGCTGGAATCATTCACTGGATGCTCAAAAATGGGATATTATATTCAATCCCAAATCGTATGGAAACGAAATTTTCGCTGTTTGTCTTTGTTGCAGCACAGGTGGCCCAATCTCGCAAGGGTCAGTATAGACTTATATGTAGTATAACTGTATATTATATTAATGTATATAATATAGTAAAAATATGTCATAAAATATAAATTTTAAAAAGAAGTTGACTAGCCTATTTGATAGTGTGTGTTCTCCTTTTATTCCTACTTTGTTGGACTAATATTTTCCGAGACTTTCTACTCGATGTTACTAGTATACATGAAACATGATAAAGGCGAACTATTCCCGATCGTCGATACGACGGCACGGCATTTCGAATCGAAAATTCTCGCACTCAAATCGCTTTATTCTCCAAAAAAATTCGCCAGGATGTTCTTCGAAAATATGGAGATACTTCGGCGAGATGTACAAGTTTTGGACCATATTTTAACAATGGAAATCAAAACCCATTTTATATTGAACTTGCCCAGGCCGAAAATTACTACGGCGAACACCTGTGCAACCAGGCCTCCTTTACCGTTGGGATTTAGAGGGGGGGGGGGATGCCACTAATACATAAACGATCATATTTCGAAGTATCATATTCTACCATGCTTTCCAACAAAGAGCCGCTGTATATTTCTTCTTCCTTAAATTCCTACAATCTCCGTCGTTCAGTTTTCCTTTCTTCGACAACGTCTTGAGTTTTATACAGTATCCGATCAAGGAGTTTTTATTTTGAATATCAAATTTCAAATAATGTAAACAGTCGCTATCACGCTTGCGATTGGCTGGCTGTTACCGGAAATATCTGCTCCCTCCCCTGTAAATCCCAACGGTAAAGGAGGCCTAGTTGCGCAGGCGTTCGCCGTAGTAATTTTCGGCCTGGGCAAGTTCAATATAAAATGGGTTTTGATTTCCATTGTTAAAATATGGTCCAAAACTTGTACATCTCGCCGAAGTATC